GGCTGAGTGACACACTGCTGACAGAACAGGCTGCTGTTTAAAATAGACTCCTTTCACTGTTGAGTCTGACAGCAGCGCAGAGACTAAACAGCAACACTACAAAGAAACTTCTGGATGAGCCCCGGACAAAAACGTGCTCTGTGCAGTTTGCTGATTTAAGGGAGGGGATGTGGGGCTAATTTAACTGTAGGTCATTGTCTGTCCGTGTGTTTGTGTTACCGCACCTCTGATGTGTGGACCAAAGTACGAAAGTCTGCAGATGTCTGTGTAAGATGCAATTTTGGCTTGCATACACATAATAGTATTAACTTCATGCATCTTTTGTTGGATTATTAACAGGAGGTTTATACACTTGGGCATATGTGAATATCCAGGTCCTTAATTTGTTGCATCCATACACCACCTTAGTGGATTTGAAATGAAACAGTTTGAAGTTCAGACCTTAAGCTTTAATTCAAGTGGCCTGACAAAAATTTTGCATCAACTGTTTAGGAATTAAAGCCATTTTCATACCTTGTCCCCCATTTTCACAAGACCAAAAGTGATTGGACGATTGACCATGTCACAGCCATAAAGAAATTCCAATTTCCAAGCTAATTTTTTTGTTATATTTACTTTATTTTAAAGTGTTTTGTAACATTAATCCGTGTTAATTTTGTGCTTTGTGAGTTTGCCCTGCTGTAAATCTCTTGGCAGTCATAAAGTGCGAGCAATTGTTGTAAATCGGTGTGTGTAAATCACCTGACATGCTCAAGTCAGTCAGGTAAACAGAGTGTGGGGCAGGAGTTTTGACGTTGCATCGTATAGTTGTATTTCATGAGGCAATGATAGGATTAGTTAACCAGGACTTCATTTGGAGAGGTTTTGTTTTGTAGCTGTCAAGTCATTTCATTTTTGTCGTCAGATTGCATGCAAACTACTTTAGGGAAAGCACAAATCAGAAACTTCCAAAGTGTAAAAGAAGGTCCGAAGGTTGCTGCTGCAGACTGATAAGCAGTTTCATGTGCAGGTGAGGCTGGTTCCCTCATTATTTTACAACAAACGGCACAGGCATAAAATCTGAAGTTGAATCCAAGTGTTGAATTAGTATTTTACAGCCTTTAATGGTAATTTTTTAGATAAGGACCAATGAGATGCCAGTGTGTCACAAGACTTAAACCAAAATAAAGCTTTCAGAGAGTTGGCAAAAACATCAGGAGTGGCCAAACAATCAGCAAACTGGTTTATTGTTTGAAGGAGGATTGCAGCGACCAGCTCAGCAACACCAAAAGACCTGAAAAACTACAGGGTCACTGATGTTTATTGAAAACGTAACTACTGATACAAGCAGCAAGATGAATTGAAGTGTATAGGACTACTTTCCCAAAATGATCAGATTGAGCTCCACAATTCAAAATGATAATGGCCCAAAGCACACTGATGATCCAACACAAGCCAGTTTTCTTAAGCAAAGGCAGGTACCTGGTTTTAACCCAACAGTACGTCTGTTTCACTGGCAGAAGATATCAAGAGGCGAAACACAGCTTTTGGTAATGTTCATGGGCTCTAGACTTCAGTCACTGAGACAAAGGGTTTTCATCCAACTATTTAAAAACTATCCTTATATTTATTTTTTATCACATATTGATTGTTTTGATTTCTAGTTTTGCAAAGAGGAAAAAACTACAAAATATATGTTGATGTCTAACAAATTATGGACCTAACTGTACCTGAAACGCCGTCCAAGAAAATGCGCAGATCCATTTTGGTAGAGAAAATGAATGTGGCTTGGATACCTGCTCAGTATGGATGTAATAAACATGTTGCTTTGCCTCCAAGTTTTGAGTTACTCATTTTGGCCACTGTCACCTTGTTGCTAATGCCCAGATACTGATTGTGTAGATTATTGCTTGTTAGTGCCAATTAACAGAAAATGCTAAACTTTTTGGACTGTTGATCCACACAGTGGGCCACAAAATTGGACAGACTGTCACAATTCATTATTTGATGGTTGTAAACATGTTAATTTCAGCTCTGAGGCATAGTATTTTAACATGACACATTTACATTAACACTGGAGGAACTGCAGCCGCAGAGGCTGTTGTTTAGTAAAATGTGATGACTGTGACACCGAGCTACTTCAGATGAACTGAAAATTTAAACAAAAACACTTCTAAACGCAAAACATTTCATTCAAGTCCAGGAAAAACACAGTTGCACAACTTGAAGTTGAAAACAATTAAAATGTTAAGTCTGCTTCCAAAATAGTTTATATAAGCTCACCGCACATCACAGGGAGGCTGTAATGTGAAACGTGGAGTATATTCAACTGACATCATCTTCCAGTCCGGTCTCGTCTCCACTGGTTCCCTCTAATTTTACATGTTACAGCCATCATCAGGCGACTCATCCTGAGTGTTTCATAGCAACAAGAAAAGGCTTCGCTACCCTGTATCTTTCCTAATGTTAGTAAGAAATCAACTCACTGGCTCTCTTTCTCGAATTTAAAAAGTTTTCTGACTTTTTTTGAGCTGCAAGCCAAACATGAACCGGTGCGCAGCATGTACCTCAGAGCCCCCAACAGTGTCCGACATGGCTTTGATTATAATTTGAAATGGCAAAGAGAAGTGAGACACAGTTGGGTGTCCAGTTTGACTAACAAGTTTCCTTCAGGGGCAACCCTTCACTTTCAGGCCAGACAGTTACATAATTCTACATTAAGGCCGTTCCATCACCAAGATTTCCCCCTAACTGGGTTCCTCGGTGTACTGTAGCTTATCTTGTACAGAACAGCAGTATCAAACCAGTATACATCCATGCAAGAAGATATGAGTAGATAAGACTACTACGGTTTGCTCTCTGTACAAAACGTAATGATTTTCTTTCTTTCTTTTGATTGGAGCAAGTTTCCTGCTTAAGGCGAGAGCTTTCCTGTGTGTGTGCAGTCTGACTCTGCGTGTGTGTGTGTGGATGGGAAGAGTGAGAAGGAAGGATGTGCTGAGGAAACCTCCTTGCTCTGTTTATTTTCAGAGCTGTGTGGATGTTTGAGAGAGTGGCAGAGAAGTGTGTATGTGGGATGGGAAAGGCAGGTAGAGTGAATTTTGTCAAACAGATGCCTAAATTCTCGGTAAACTGGGCTGAGCTCTGTCCTATTATATAACTCTGAGAGAGAGTGTGTGTGTGTGTGTGTGTGTGTGTGTGCGTGTGTGTGGTATTTGCCTGGTGGAGCTGAAGCAGCGCTCCACCTCAGTCCGACCAGCTGGCGTCCCAGCCGACACTTCACCTCTGGACCACTGTCTGAATTTGCTGTTTCTTAACAAACACTCTGCAATTAGGACGTCGTGGAGGAATTTGGGAGCTCTTGGGAACATTTGAGGAATTTACTGCAACACACACTGGACTGTTGGGCAACTTTTAAAAAATTTTATTATAACACTTTTTCTATATTAAGATTTATTCTTTTTCCCAGTCAAACCTTTGAGAATGAAGAGCGGAAAGATTCCTGCACGTCTTTGCTTTACATACAGGAACTTTTTTATCCCGCATTTCTGTCCGTAAACAGTGATTTTAAAAGTTCGGCTCAATGGATTACGCTCAGTCTGTGTAATTGCTGGGAGGTTTTAGACTTGTCGGTTCATGTTAGCAGGTTGAATCGTTCTCTGGGATTTAAAAAAAAAAAGAAAGAAGGAAAGAAAAGGAAAAAACAGGTGTGTGCAGTTGGTGCGGGTGTGTGTGTCCTCCGCTGTGGATGTCCCCAGTGTGAACTGGTCTGGATAACAAGCAGCTGCAACATGTGGTTTTCTGTGGTGGGCAGGAAAGACCAGGTAACTGCTCTTTTTATGTCATTTGTGTCTTTTAAAGGCAAAGAGACTGTTTCTGTCTGCTCTCTTTGATGTTATTATAAATGTAAAAAAAAAACAAGGTTTGAAAGGTGGTCTGTAAGTTTGCATCCATGTAAACCCGATTAAGACTGTGTTGCGTTTCATGTATGATAGACTCGTTCTGCTAAATTGCTGACCTTATTGGGGGTTTTCCTGGCTCAAATCTTACTGTTTGATATACAAAAAAAATAATAGGTGTACTTCAGTAAATTAAATACCATCATAATGTACGTGAGGGAGGAAGTTTCCTTTTGTGCTGGTAACAATCTTTTAGATGGACATGAGTAGTCCATGAGTATTTAGTGTTTATTTAGAAGCACATGCTTGTGAAGCAGCTGGTTGAATATTCCTGGATTTATCGAGTGCAATGGCCTGCTGGTTCATCACTCTTGACCGTTTGCTGTCAGTGCCGTTCTGTCACTGGTTACACAAAAACCCCTGGTGTGTTTTGTTTTTAATAGAAGGGAAAAAGAAAAGGGTAAAGTGCTCTTCAGCCAGATTTAAATTTGTGGCTTGATTTAAAATGTAGATTCTAAAAGAAGACTCCTTAATCAGATTTTGCAGAAATCTCCATAAATTTATAATATTTTATTAGACTTGAAGAATTTCTTTTTTGTGTGGTGGGGAGAGGAGGGGGTCTGGCAGTTCAGCTCAGTTTAAATGTTAGATAAGATTTCTGGTGTAAAATGGGAATATTAGCTCATAAAATCTCTATGTCGAATCAGTGATTGCTCTATTTGAACTCTCAACCTTTACATGTTGGTCATTTTGTTGGAGCCCTTTGTCTCTGTGGAACAAATGTGTGGAGAGCAGATTAGCATCCTTAAAAATACTACATCAGTCAAACCCACACACGTGTGTTTTAT